ATATATATATATATATATATATATATATACACACACACACATATATATATATATATATATATATATACACACATATACATAATAAAATTACATGTTTTTGTCTTTTTAATTTGAGTAAGTTTTAAAACTGCAACAAAATTACTAATTTCAGGATTTAAGCATTAAAAATAAAAAATATTTTTTTTATTATAATAAAATAAATAGTTATTGTTTAATTACTCCTTTATATATTTATATTTATTAGGTCATTTTATAATTTTTTAATTTGACTATAAATCTTTTTATTGTTTTAATTGTATTACTTTATATTTCAGTTTTCGTTTCAGTTATCTTAATACATGAAGTTAAACTAAATGAAAAACAAAAAAAAAAAAACAAACAAAAAAAAACATTAGTAAAAAAAAAAAAAAAAAAAAACAAAAAAACATTCATTTATGCAGCAACAGTATTTTGGGGGTCTGCAAACGGAAAAAACTTGAGAATGGGTTTCAAAATGCAAGTTTTAGAAAACAATACTGTTATCATCTCGACTCTGAAAACACAAATTTGTGAAACCGGTGACGTAATGCGCAATGCATGTGTTCAATCTATAGGTGCAGGCGCTTAGTGTTTCTTTACAACGTGACATCGCCAACTACTGGCCTGGCATGCACAATACAGCGTTTTTAATAAATTCCGTGGATCCTTGTCAATCTTTGACGATCGTTAGAAACGTTTCAATAACGCAAAAGAAAAACTTTTCAGCTTTTAGACAGATTAATACTTACAGTCTTTTGAGGGCGAAAAGTCCATAAAAAGCTCCCGGTTCAATATGTGCGATTATGTTGTTCTTTATGTCACTGTGAAGAAAAAAGAAAAAAAAAACTATTTTAGATGGTGAACATTATCAAACACTTAAAAAAAAATGGCCTTTGGTTAATTTCAAACATGAGCCAAACTGAGCCAACCCAGCCCTATAATAACAGGTTATTCAAAACTCAGAAAACATGCCAGTGGGTATAACACTCAAACCTTTTGATGCTTTGACGTGCTGTAGCTAACAGCCATAAGCGAATGCAGAGCCCTTAATAAATCACTCTCGTTTAGCAGTGTAACGTAACTTGTGGATTGGAAGCTCTTCAAACGCAGTAACTCAATCAGCAAAATGAATCAATTTAGGTGATTCGATAATATCCTGATGTCCTGCCCTTTATCAAACATCAAATATAGGAAATGGCATACTGTAATCTTAGAATAACCACTGTAATGTGTCGCAGTGATATAATAGGGCAGTGTAGTATAGCAGAAACTGACTGACCACCACTGACCGAACGAAAAATAAGCACTCAACAATCCCAGAATCCGGCATAAGAGAAAGGGCGGAAAAGTTCAAAGGCTACCGTCACTGATACCCAAAGCCCACACCTGCGCTTGTCGGCTAGCCCTGTTGAAAACATCATCACAGAGTTCCTGCGTCAAAGGCGGACTAAACATGTGAGCCTCTTTGATGTCGCGCCATTTGTGGTTTGAGGGTGGAATGGAGGAGCACACAATACGGCAAGAGAGAGAAGGTAGACTAAGGTGAACTCAATGATTACAGGCTTTCTGTAAGAACAGCAACATTTGAAAACGTACCATGGTTTCTATAAAAATATCAAGCAGCATGACTGTTTTCAACATTGATAATAACCAGAAATGTGTGTTGAGCAGCAAATCAGCATATTACAAGGCTCCAGACTGCACCTAAAACGGTTGCATTTGTGACCAAAAATATTAATTTGCGAGTAGTATTTTTGCTGAGATCGCCACTGGCGACTATATAAATTTACATGTTATGACTTAAAGGGGTATATAATTTTTTTTTTAAGAAAATGACTGATCATTTCAATAGATAAGACTCTTATTCCTCGGCTGGGATCGTGTAGAGCCCTTTGAAGCTGCACTGAAACTGCAATTTGGACGTTCAACCCGTTGGTCCCCATTGAAGTCCATTATATGGAGAAAAATCCTGGAATGTTTCCCTCAAAAACCTTAACTTCTTTGCGACTGAAGAAAGAAAGACATGAACATCTTGGATGACATGGGGGTGAGTAAATTATCAGGAAATTTTTATTCTGGAAGTGAACTTATCCTTTAAAAATTTGCATGTAATGATTTTTTTTTTTCTGATTGTTTTGAGATCACATCTTTTGTTATGTTGACGTAATAAACTGAGACGATGTGCATCAAAGTTTTAGAGGGAAAAAACAACAACTTTCAAACAGTCTTCATCTCTGCCGAACACCTGCTAAAAGCAGCTCCAGCTGTGGCAGCATGAGAGAGAGAGAAAATGATGGAGACGTGCGAAGCAAAAATGCAGAAAAGCAGGGTCTGTTTCGTGCACAACCTGAACAAACTACAACAGATAAAGCTGTCAGCTGTGTGGACATTAACACTATATCGTTAACCATTCTCATTTATAATCTTTAGTCTATATGCGGTGTTCTGTTAATGCGTGAGCTTCATATTATTTGTAGCGCACTTGCCATCCAATAATCATAATAAGTTTTGTGTTCTGTTACCTTTTAATAAACATTTTGCTAAATATCTGCACTATATTGCATATTCATATTTTTTCTTAACCTGTTGCCTACATGACAAGAAAGAGTGCAAGGAGCTAAAGATAAAAGTCAACAACTCCTATATAATTGCATGTTACTAATGAAGAAAAACAGACTGGATGTGTGCAAGACATATGATGACATTTATGGGATGCATTGAGGAGGAGACCAAACTACACTCAAGGGGCCAAGTGATGCTGACATAGTTATGGTCAGTGATACTGGCACAGATTCTGTGTAATAAACAATTCTTTGTGACTGTATATAGTTCTGAAGTTGGAAAAGACGTTTAGTTCCCAATTTAAGTGAACCTTAGTCCCCAGGACCTCTACAAGATGGATTAAAATTCTGATGCTGTAAAAGGAGGGGAGACATAAACCCATGACAGTATGACTAAAATGTTAAAGTGTAAATAATAATAATAAATAAATAAAACATACTTATTCTGTGGCACTTAAAAAAATTATTTGGCGCCCGTTTTTGTTTCTTATAGGAGCCAATGTCTCCTTAAGTGATTTTTTTTTTTTTTTTGTCTGAAGCCCTGATATTAGAATGATTTCTGAAGGATCATGTGACACTGAAGACTGGAGTAATTATGCTGAAAATTCAGCTTTGATCACAGGAATAAATTACATTTTAAAATATATTAAAATAGTAAACATTTATTTTAAATTGTAAAAATATTTCACAATATTACTGTTTTTACAGCATTTTTGTGCAAATAAATGCAGCCTTTGTGAGCAATCTTCCTTAACACTTACAAAAATGGTAGCATTGGTATTATAAAAATACTAGTTAACTAGAATATCAATGCATTTAATTTGTCCCATCAACAGCAAAACTACATCAACAAAATTTTCACTATTAATAAAATATCATATAGTACCATGGTAATGTTTTTTTTTTCTTTTCTCCCCACATGCACCATACAAATGGTACATGGTATTCTTTTGGTATCATGATATTCTCATGGTATTCTTGTAAACAGTGTTATATGAATATGGTAATCAAAGTACCATGGTATCACTATTTAAGACTATTAACACATTTAAGAATCTCAATATATTTACATTTTCTATTTTGAGAAACATTCTTACTCACTACTTTAACATAATACTGACTACTAAACAGCAGTTCACCAAAAAAAATTATTCTGTCATTAGTTACATTGACATCATTCTAAACCTATATGCCGTTATTCTTTGATCAATCTTCACAAGAGGAAAATTAGTCAAGCAGGTTTGGAAGAGCACTGATGGTGAGTAAATGACATCAGAAACATTAAAGGTATAGTTCACCCAAAAATGAAAATTCTGTCATTCATTTACTAGTTGTTCCAAACCCGTATTACTTACTTTCTTCTGTTGAACCAAACTTTCATAGTATTCCCCCCCCCCATTTTTGGGTGAACAATCCCCATGAGTCAGGTATGACACGCCACTCTTCATTAAGAAATATTTCTGAAACGAAGGCTGCGTTTACACGACAACGATGTAGTCAAAAACGGAAAAGTTCTTCCCTTGCGTTTTTAAAAAGTTTCACGTATACACGACAACGTTTTTCAAAACGATTCACGTTTACACATATCCGCGAAAATGGCCAAAAACGCTGTATTGCGTATGCAAGACCAGTAGTTGGCGCTGTCACCTTGTTAGTAAACAGTACCTGTTGCGAAGTGACGATTATATGTTGTATATGTACATACCTAACACGTACTACGCACGCGCATGACGTCACCGTTTTCAAAGATTCCCGTATTGGGTGTTTACACGGAAACGATAACGGTGGCATTTTCAAAAACATGCACGTTGAAACCCGTTTTCAAAAGTATGCGTTTTCAGTCCCCAAAACGCCGTTGTCATGTAAAAGAACAGGCAAAACGCATTAAAAGTTTCCAGTTTTTGGCTGTAAACGTTGTCGTGTAAACGGCCCCTGATACTGAGAAAGTTTTCATGTCAAGCAAACATGGAAAAGCCTTTTCATTCTGTGAGAAAACACATTTACACAGAGAAGAGCTGCATGAGCTTTAGGTCACAGTGGGCAGTTCTCTGGAGTGGAAAGGCAAACACGCGTCCCGGAAGCACTGCTCATAAAGGGTCGGAGGAGCGAGGGGAGAAAAGGGGGAAAACAGTACAATCAATCTAAACGCTCTTCCCAGAATACATTAAGACGGGTCTCAAAAAGACATGACAAAATTTGTGTGTAGTCAAATTTCATCACGGATATGTTGTAAAGAGATGTGATTGCGTTGTATGATTAACAGATTTAATTTAGGCTTTTATTCACATATCATGACCGGTAAATAGAAGCTCAAATGTGCGCGATGCATATAAGAATCAATGAGGTTTATTCTGGTATGTGACGCACAAACATTTGAATTTCTTTGCATTTACCATATTTGATGTGCTCTATGTACTTGTGTTGATCATAAAGTCAAAATATAGTCAAATAAACCAAACTTTACATTTGTTCATCATAAAAAGCGATCATATATCTTCACAAAACCTAATAAAGTACACGATTCAGTTTTGGATCTTCAAAGTTTTGGTTGCATGCACTTTCGTCAGAGAATGTCAGTCCACGCTCTCTATCTTGAAGAACCCAAAAATCTTAGTTTTTACTAAAAATATGTGTGTTTTGAAGATTAACAAAAGTCTTATGGATTTTGAATAACGTGAAGGTGAGTAAACGATGACAATTTTTTTCATTTTTGGTGATCTATCTCTCAAAGCACCAGGACTGAATCATTGAGTCAATCAAACTCAAGTACCAGATCAGTCCAATTTGTGAACAAATCATTCAGACTAGTTTTGTGAACTGAATTAACCGATTCACTGAACAGATCTGATTCAAAACAATGATTCGTTCACTGCTACACCAAGAAGACCTACACTGTAAAAAACATTATTTCGCAGTGTAGTTGTTTCAGTTATTTTTTTTTTTAAGCTGACAACTTGCAGTTTCTGAATTTATTCATTCAACTTATCATTTGAAGTTGTCACTCTCTCAACTCATCAATTCAATAATATCACGTTCTCAACATCACTTATCGCGAGATCTGTTGGAGACAGAAGACGTTCGTCTTGATGAGCTTCTCCACAAAGTTTGGAAATTTTCTCAGTCTGCAAATTTGGTAAGTAAATATTTGTATTTATTGGTTTAATGTGTGTAAACTTCTGTGGAAGCTGTTCATATGCGCTTACAGTATATGAACAACTTCCACAGAAGTCATTCATTCAGGTTTAAAACAACATTAAGGGATTTTCATTTTTAGGTGAACTATAGCTTTAACTGCAATAATAAGGCAGGCCTTCATAGGGTGTTAGGTGAAAAAAATGAGGCTTTCTTTCACCAATTCTTTACGAGTACACACACACACACACAAAATCCAACACACCGGCACAGAAACAAAGAGCCAGAGAATAATGCGCGAATCAGACTGCTGACATCTCTGGCTTCAGCTCGATTCATTAGAATGACAAAAGCAGCGCTGTGCTCTGGGCAGAAGGGATCGGAGCGAGAGAGGAGCGTGAAAACAGAAAGTCAGAGAGGGCACAGAGGGAGCAGCACTGGAAGGTAACTGTGCCATGAAAGCCGTGCCATCAAGAGAGTCCAAGATGAATTCCTCAGGCTTTCAAACCATGGGAAGATCAAAGATGTTTACACTTCCAACGTGTTCTAAAGACAAGGCTTTAGCTCTTTATCCCCTGAACTGTATCATTCTCCCGACATAAAAAGAGGGAAGAATTCCCTCACATTATAAACAGAACGATGCACAGATTGAGTCTTGAATCAACATGACGCTTTGCAACAGGCTGAAATGACCCAGTTGGAAGCTCTCAACTCCTTATGCATCTCTCAAGACGACAAGGTCTACAGGCTGCTGGAACGCAGGGCTCCAGAACAATCACAACCGCAACGAACATCAATTACTTTTGCATTCAAGCAGAACACAAGCTGAAAGTCCATCTGTTTCTTCTGTTGCCTGAGATGATTCCCAGATCTCACTCAGCCCAGGAAACTGAGATCAGGGCCAAGCTGCAAGACCTCTTCATTTGGAGGTACCATGACATGTGTATGACGCTTGTTTTACAAGGAGGAAAGTGAAGTGGTTAGATGCCTGTGATGCTTGTTAAATTGTCCAGTGGCATTAGGAGAAAAAAATGATGATGCACAAACGTGAAAGGAAAAGATTAATTTATGACTGAATGAATGTAAAATTACAGAAAATTCAATTTTGTATATATGTGTGTGTGTATACTGTATATATACACACACACAACACCGTTAAAGTTAGATTTTTGTGTAAAAAAAAAAAAAAATCAACAAGGATGCACTTAATTGATCAAAAGTGACAGTAAAGACAATATTAAAAAATACTTCTATTTCGAATAAATGCTGTTCTTAACTTTATATTCAAAGAATCTTGAAAAAAAAGTATCACGGTTTCCACAAAAATAGTAAGCAGAAAAACTGTTTTCAACACTGATAATAAGAAGAAATCTTTCACTGAAGACTGGAGTATTGATGCTGAAAATTCTGCTTTTTTTAATACTAAATGCATTTAATTTAAATTCAAACTATACTACATTGTCATTCAATTGCAATTAACATGCAATTAAGAGTCTGAAAACATTACATGCAGCACATGCTTAAGCATATTAAGTATATTATTTGCAATCACAGGAATAACTTACATTTTAAAACATATTCAAATAGAAAACAGGTATTTTATATTGTAATATTATTATATACTACACACACACACACACACATACATACATACATACATACATATATATATATATATATAAATGCAGCCTTGGTGAATGTAAGAGACGTGTTTCAAAAACATTTAAAAATCTTTTGAAACTTTGTTTTTTAACACTAACTTAACACTAACTTGTGGCTACTGAAAATTCCAGGAGTCAAAATGATTCAGTTGATCAATTCATGAACATTTACAGACAACCCTGAAATACCTTGAATATTAACAAGACCTACAATAAGGACATGGAAAATACAGTTCCTCACGGATGACATTGTGTGTCATTCCAGCCTAAGTAAAGCACGCTTCCATGTTTCCATATTCAAATCCATTGATAAGTCTTAAATGGAGCGAGCACAAATAAACCAATGCTTTCTTTAAATAAAGAAACTTCTAGAAAACAAGCTTAGTGTGTCAGTGCCTTTATTCCACTCTTCTTTGAAAGAAACCGGTTCTGTGAACACGTCCATTGGTCAGCGGCTGCTGTTCATTGTAAATCTGGGTCATGTATAGTCAAGCAGCAGTATAAGGGAAAGTGCACCTAAACAGCAACACTAAATACGGCATTTCAATGTACAGCCTCTAAATTTAGCTCCAGCATTTGACCAGCACTGCTACAGTGAGTGACACGGAGTCCCTAACGGAAGTACTGAGCAAAGTGGCAAACCGATGCCAAGACCAGACAATTGTGCTCCCTGAAGTCAACAGCTATAATTAACTTTCACTTGACCAGCCCCCTCAGTATGACCTCCTCGAGGTCTCCAACAGCCTCACCTCACTTTCTGCTCGACAACATTAGCACCTTGTCCATTTCAGAATAAGAAGCTTTGCACCGTCCCCCAAAAACCTGCTGGTCTTGGACCAGGAACAGCTAACATCAGAGACCAGATCATGTCTGCACCAAATAAACATTTCAGAACAACTCAGAATGCCAAAAACGGACTAAACAAAACTAGACCATTCTCATTATAATCAACGGAGACATCACTACTATGAAGAATTCATTGCTTTGAATTGTAATCGTTACATATTTAAATAATTCATCATAAAATCAAAAGCGGCTATAGGAATGGCATAAAGACAACAAATCAAACTGCTTTGGCTGCTTTTGTAGTAATGCAGTCAGTAACATCATCATTTGATTCTCAACCCTTGTGAAAAAGCAGTGCACTTAATTATATTAAGTTCTACTTTAAAGCACAATCTTGAAAAGCACAACACTTATTTTGATGTGCTGATTGAACGTACTAAAGCACATGTAAAGTACTTGATAATTTCAATAAGGTTAATATATTTTAAATGCAGTAAATTGCAACTTAATTACAAAGGTGTAATTACTATTGATTAATTATCAATCGAAATGACATTCAAGTGTATTTTAGTTAAACAAATGTAATTATGCTCACAATATAATTATAAAATTACATATAAAAAGTCCTACTCAAGTGTGTTAAAAACATGCTAATTACTTTTAATATATCATTTCAAACTACAAAACATTTTCATTTAATTGCAATTAATGTGCAATTAAGTGTTTGAAATCATTACACTCATTTCACACTTAAGCATATTCTTTAAAGGGGTCCTATTAGGCCCTCTTACAAAGTCTTGATTTATTTTTTGGGGTGTACTAGAATAGGATTTCATGCTTGGTTGTTGCAAAAATGCATAATTTTTCACATATTTTACATTATTATCTCTTCCCAGTCTGCCCTGATTAGTTCCTGTTTCGATGAAGCCCCTCCTTCCGAAACACAAAATGCGTTCTGATTGGTTAACTGGCCCAGTGTGTTGTGATTGGTGAAATGCTTAGAGTGTGTTCCGGAAATGCCACGCCCCTTACCATAACCGCGAGTTTCTATCTGCTCAGCTGAAAATATTAACAATGTCGTCAATTTTGCCATACCGATTCAAGCCGATTCAGACCCTGAGAATGTTTATGAAAAAGAGGATCATGCAGAACCTTTGCAAGCACAGATTTTACAGGACATTTCGGAGTGGTGTGTGTTTTTTATTTTTTTTTACGGTCTATGGTCTCTAGCGCAGCTCAACCAGGCCTTGTTCCTTTTTTGTGCATTCCGTGGGCGGGATTATTTAAATGAGCGACAGACACTATGACTTCATAATATCCAGAAGAAGCGTGCTGTAGTTCTTGAAGTGTTTTCTGTTAAAGAGAATATCTACTTTTAGAGTGGACTTTGAGCTTTATAACCTTGCAGATCTTTTTATGCTCAAACAGCAAGTTAAAAAGCATAATAGGACCCTATTAAAGTATATTAATAAGTCCTCTTTTTAAAAGAATAATAGTGTACTTTTTTTCACAAGGGAAGGATGGTTTTGGACGAAGTTCTTAGACGAAATTTAGGTAACCTCTGAGAATTTTTCATAATCACAATATATTAAAACGGTGTATAAGATTATTAAATGTTCTAAAATAGAGAATATAACAAATAAAAAAAGGGAAAAGTAGCACAAATTAAACTTACAGTCGTTCCAGTGATGGCAAACCAATGAAAGAGCCATTCAGAAGTTCCTGGATTTTATTGTTACTCAAAATCCTGTGGAGAAAACAAAAGAGATTGATATGAAAAATCACGTGACCACAGACAAACAAAACCTTCCTTGAACTCAAAAGTGTAAAACAGATGTAGAACAGTGTTCTTGTAAGCTCATGCACAAAATTCATATTCTTCATCCGCTGGACTCACTGGACAAAGTACCTTGGAAGAAAAAATATTTTGCTCATTGCATAATATTATATCAATTCTACATGATTGTTCGTGGCAAATGCTTTATTACCAAAGTGACCTGGCAAACAGAAGACCAGGCAGCTGAAAATACAAGAAACTAGCTAAGCTCTTAATCATCAGAAAGAAGCTTCGAACAACTGAAGATACAATAAGACATGGAAAATAATCCATAGCAGCCAACTGGGGTGGTTACAGGTCTGTGCTGGTAACCTAAAGGGTTTTACGGACTACATCACCATTGTGGCCTATTGGAAACTGGACTGTACTTGTAGTAAATGTTCTGTAAAATAGGTTTGAATGAAAATTCTTCTGATTTAGTCTAACAGAACATGTCTGAAACCAATCGGATGTTGCCTTGCTTCAATTTTCCACATAGATGACGGCCAATTGGCTGACATGACTATCAGTGGAGCGTTGGCTGCTCAGGCAAACAGCAGAAAATGTGTTTTGCTGTTGAAACTGTTGAAGCTAAACACAGTCTTTACCAGCTTACAAGTGATATACAAGAAAGAAAACACTTGCAATGGATAAATAATGGACTGCATTTAACTTGGTTTTATTTTGAAAGATGAAATCACTGCAAAGTGAAACAAAAGTCTCTATGATGATAGCACACAATTTCAGATCACACTTTAGTTTGGGGTCCAATTTTCACTATTAACTATGACTTTTGCCTCAGTAAACTCCTAATTTGCTGCTTAATAATAGTTAGTAAGGTAGTTGTTAAAGGGGTCCTATTATGCTCTTTTACAAAGTCTTGATTTAGTTTTGGGGGTGTACTAGAACAGGCTTTCATACTAGGTTGTTCGAAAAACCCATTATTTTTCACATATTTTACATTATTACAGCACATCTCTCCCCAGTCTGGCATGAACGGCTCGAATAGTTCCTGTATCAAATGAAAGCCCGCCTTCTGAAATACGAAATGTGCTGTGATTGGTTAGCTGGGCCAGTGTGTGTTGTGATTGGTTAGCTGGGCCAGTGTGTGTTGTGATTGGTTAGCTGGGCCAGTGTGTGTTGTGATTGGTTAGCTGGGCCAGTGTGTGTTGTGATTGGTTAGCTGGGCCAGTGTGTGTTGTGATTGGTTAGCTGGGCCAGTGTGTCTTGTGATTGGTTAGCTGGGCCAGTGTGAGTTGTGATTGGTTAGCTGGGCCAGTGTGAGTTGTGATTGGTTAGCTGGGCCAGTGTGAGTTGTGATTGGTTAGCTGGGCCAGTGTGTCTTGTGATTGGTTAGCTGGGCCAGTGTGTGTTGTGATTGGTTAGCTGGGCCAGTGTGTGTTGTGATTGGTTAGCTGGGCCAGCGTGTGTTGTGATTGGTTAGCTGGGCCAGTGTGTGTTGTGATTGGTTAGCTGGGCCAGCGTGTGTTGTGATTGGTTAGCTGGGCCAGCGTGTGTTGTGATTGGTTAGCTGGGCCAGCGTGTGTTGTGATTGGTTAGCTGGGCCAGCGTGTGTTGTGATTGGTTAGCTGGGCCAGTGTGTGCTGTGATTGGCAGCACTCGGTTATTTCAGTTGCCGAACATTCCCTAACTCGTTGCCTTTTCTAGTGCAGCTCAACCAGGTCTCGTCCCATTCGCCGGTATATATATGAAAATATGCGTTGTAGTCCAAACGAGTCGTTCGTTGTAGTTTTTGAAAAGTGATTTCTGTTAATTAAAATATCTCCTTTTGAAGTGGACTTTGAGCTTTGTAACTTTGCAGATCTTTTTTATGCTCAAACAGCAACATTACAGACTAACTAAAGTTGAAAAAGTGAAAAAGCATAATAGGACCCCTTTAAGTATATGTATGGGGTGGATTAAGGGATCTAAAATATGGTCATGCAGAATAAGGCATTAATACGTGCTTTATAAGTACTAATTAACAGCCAATGTGCTAGTAATACACGTGCTAGTGAGCAACGAGTTAATAGTGAGAATTGGTCCCTAAACTAAAGTGTTAGTTTATTGTATCGTATCGAAACATATCATTTCCGACTCGCACTGTACACGGTAGACCAATCACAACAGACTGGGCCATCTGACCAATCAGAGCAGAGTAGGCTCACGGAAAGGAAGGGGTTAGCGAGACTGAATTTGAAAACCATTGGAAAATGAGGTGATATTAAATGCATATTTTGAGAAAACAACCTTGCATGCATGTAAACCTATTGTAGGAGACTCCCAAAACAATATCAGGAACCTTAAAAATGGCATAATAGGCATAATATAACACACTATGAGCTAACATGAACATGTTTATTACCTAAAATAAACAATGCTGTAACAATTGTAACAATCGTATCATTTAGATACTATTATAGTTTTTATTAATATTTTGATTTGGTTTCTTATTTTTATTTTTTGTATTTTTATTTTAATATTAGTTAAATTTTTAGTCATTTTAATGTGACATTTTTAGTATTTTTTAAATATGTCTATAGAGTTTTTCATTTTTATTTCAGTTTTAGTTATTTTAGTACAAGTTAAACTAAATTAAAATGAGAAATGTTGCTTTGGCAACTAGCTTTTATTTCATTTCAATTATTGTTTATTTTACTTTTAGTAACATTTTTTAAATAGTTTTAGTTTTAATTAACAATATATTGCTCATTGTTAGTTTATGCTATAACTAATGTTAACAAATGATAACTTATTGTAAAGTGTTACCAGCTTTAGAAGTTAGTTAGTCTGAGACAGTCAACCAGCTAACATGATACATACAGTACACTGCTGAATCATGTTTGGTTTTGCTTTCCGAGGACAAAACATAGGGGAAACATCTTCAGCATGTCTCCTCCAGTTTGTGTAATTCAGCAGTAAACAGTGATGTTCATTCCAGAGGAAACACCACAACTGTTTGTGGTTGGCTGTTTTAGGGACAGTCGTACCGGATGCAGTCTCTCACGCTCACAACCCCTTATGCACAGGTCCCGGCCAGACTGTTATTATTACGGGATGCTGAAGGGTGACTTTATTACAAGCTTGGGCTACTGAGACAGCCAACATATTTTTCTGGCTTTAAGAACACAAATAGTTCTTATCCTCTCCTCACTTCAACAGATTGTGGATTTTCAAGCTCCAGATGTGCAGCGCATTAAGGAAGAGGTATATCAAGTGTCTCACAGCACTGAGAGGACGCATTTGAAAGATGTAAAAGTCAACAAGAAATCAAAACGGATACTGTTTACTCTCGCAATACACATTCCTGGACTTATTGTGCAAGATTCAGTGTGTTACTCAAGAATAAAAAAAATAATAATAATAATGTCATCAAATTGAAATCACTTGCTCCTCCTTTGAAACGACTTTCCTTTTTGGCTGACGTCATCAAGGCCGCTTAGGTTTCAACCAATAGGAGCCAGCCGTATCCTCCACTACAGTCTCTGGTATTGCACATCCATTTTAAGCTCTCAGTGAATGAAATCAAGTCTCACACTTTATTTTTTTCTTGTTGAATATCATTATAAATATGTTTTAATACACAGCAATAAGGCTTTATGCATCCTAAACAAATCAAAAACTGCATTACAACAGCCAGTATAATATGCAACAGAAATATGCTTTGCAATAGGCTAAAAATGGACAAACAACTATTTCAACTGCTGGCCGATTATTTCTTAGACTCGTGAGACACAAATAATAACACTGAATTGTGTATTCAACCTATAAATGGCTTATTGTTCACTGCATATTAAGCAAGGACAGAATAAACTATTTTAACTATTTTATGAAAATAAACTATTTTAGTGTTTTTCAATCAGGGGACTTGCAAAGCCTATTTCCTTGTCAAGAAGAGGAGGAAAAAAATGCCTGATAATATTCTGAAGTTTGCATGGATAAACATGCAGACACTGCCTTGTGACTCTGATCTGACAAGATAAATTTGAGCATGATACTGATATTCATGAGCGCAGCGATCTCCCTGGAAGCCATTCCTCTCCCTCATACAGTATGAGCCCGGGATAAGTCCTGACACACAGCTCCCAGTGTGGGCCTGAGTACAAGTTTAACAAGATTTTATGGAGCACTGACATAATTTGACTTGCAAAATGGAGCCAACACATAGAACGAGTTGGTTTCTGAAAGTAATTTGCCATTTAATAATTGTAAAATTCATTTAATAAATGCAAGAAATATGCATGTCGTTGATTTTTCTCTACATTTAGGGCCAAGCTACTGTTCACTGTACACGGTAGACCAATCACAACAGACTGGGCCATCTGACCAATCAGAGCAGAGTAGGCTCACGGAAAGGAAGGGTTTAGCGAGACTGAATCTTAGAACTGCTTCGAACGAATCGTTTGAAAACCATTGGAAAATGAGGTGATATTAAATGCATATTTTGAGAAAACAACCTTGCATGCATGTAAACCTATTGTAGGAGACTCCCAAAACAATATCAGGAACCTTAAAAATGGCATAATATGGGTGCTTTAACACACTATGAGCTAACATGAACATGTTTATTACCTAAAATAAACAATGCTGTAACAATCAGTGTTCTAGTATCATTTAGATACTATTATAGTTTTTATTAATATTTTGATTTGGTTTCTTATTTTTATTTTTTGTATTTTTATTTTAATATTAGTTAAATTTTTAGTCATTTTAATGTGACATTTTTAGTATTTTTTAAATATGTCTATAGAGTTTTTCATTTTTATTTCAGTTTTAGTTATTTTAGTACAAGTTAAACTAAATTAAAATGAGAAATGTTGCTTTGGCAACTAGCTTTTATTTCATTTCAATTATTGTTTATTTTACTTTTAGTAACATTTTTTAAATAGTTTTAGTTTTAATTAACAATATATTGCTCATTGTTAGTTTAT